CAGTAGGTTTTGCCCTTAGAATTTCAGAGGTAAGAAAATAAAGGCTTGCTGCAAGATTACTCATAGAATTACAATGCTGTGCACAATGAGCACTTTGTAGCCTTTAGCAGAAGAAAAAAGAGATGGCCAGTAGCTTTAATCATTTCTGTAGATTTCACCAGTCTTCTTTCAGATGTTAAATGTGTCTTGGGCAAGACTAATGCAGACTCTGTCTTGACTGTGCATCAGAAACACCAGAAGGACTTACTAAAACACAGATCGCTGGACCCCATCCCCAGAGTTTCTGATTCAGCCAGTCGGGGGTGGACTCAAGAATTTGCTGTTCTAGCAATTACCCAAGGGATACAGAAATGCTGATGCATAGGAGCACATGTACCCCAATGTTCATAGCAGCACTCTCAACAATAGCTAAAACATGGAAAGAGCCTAAGTGTCCATCAACAGACGAATGGATAAAGAAGATGTGGTTTATCTACACCATGGAATACTACATGGCAATGAGAAACAATGAAATCTGGCCCTGTGTAGCAACATGGATGGACCTTGAGGGTGTTATGCTGAGCGAAATAAGTCAGGCAGAGAAGGACAAATACCATATGTTTGCACGTATAGGAGGATTGGGAGGAACTTAACTGAGGACCATGGGGGAGAAGAAGGGGGGGAAATGGTGGGGGAAAGGGAGAGAGGCAAACCATGAGAGACTCTTGAATGCTGACAAAAACTGAGGACTGATGGATGTGGGGGGAGGGGGGATGGGAATGGAGGAGGGCACTTGTGGGGATGAGCACTGGGTGTTATATGGAAACCAACTTGACAATAAACTATTTGTAAGAAAAAAAAAAAAAAGAATTTACTGTTCTAACAAGTTCCCAGGTGATGCTGGTGCTTCTGATTCATAGACCACTCTCTGACGCATATCCAGTGGTCCTGGTTAAATTCAACTTCAGTCTGTGTTCCTTTGGGGGATTATGTTAATGGGGGCAATGCCTTTACCTCTTTCTGACTCATAATGTTTTTCACCTGTGGGGTTTGGGCAGAAGGAGGAAGGAATCTGTGTCATTCCAGTGATCTGGCTGTCAGGCCCATAGACACATTGCCCTTTACTTGCCAGGCTAGGCTTTCCGGGTAAAGGCCAGGATGTGCTGATGGGGCAGTTACCCTCCTTCCAAACCAGGAAGCAGCATACACTTGCAGAAGCAGCAGCTGTATATTTAGTGTTGGCTCCTGACCCAGATCTTCCCTGCATTCTGGAGGCCATCACAGTCCCAAGGTGGTAGAGATGTGAAGATGTGACATGGATGCTGAGAACCTTCTAGTGGCCAGGTGGTTGGCCAGAGTGGCCTCTGGGAAGGAGTCAGGAGAGTGGGTTGTATGTGAGTGGACTTCAAACTTCTTGGGTGACATTGGGCAAGCCTCCTATTCCTTGACTTTCCCATTTTGACCACTTATGTTTATGAAACACACTTCTTTCCTTCTCAGACTTGAAAATAGCAGAAAAACAGAAACTGAAATCTGGAGTGGCCTCCAGGGCATTTATGAGCTGATGTGCAGAACTCTGAGTGCCTGAGGACAAAGCTGCTATGTAAACACAATATATTATTAATAAATTGTTAAAAAAATAGCATCACACTTTCTGCTAATAATAGCTAGTTGAGGCTGTGGGAGCAGTTTTGACAGGCAAGCTCCCAGCACTGTTGAAGGAAGGGTGACTGTGGCTTTGAATTCGCAACACATTTAAAAGAAGAAAATAGGGCTTTAAAACATTTTTAAGAATATTCACAGGTATAGTTGTGAAGAAAATATGATTATATTTTGGTAAGATTCAACATTAATAAACCAAACCATCAATTTTTTTGGATTTTCATTATGTTTCAGAGCGGTTTTACAATGTGGGCTATGTCATAGGCATTTTTGCTAGCGTTAAGGTCTTTCCCTTTCACGTGTGTGTTGGTAAGTAGTTGATGTCCTTTAAACTCTATGTGGGAACACTTAGAAATCAGCTCATCATTACTTAATCAGTTAGTGACTACATCCACTCTATAGATGTGTATGAAGCACTTGCTATGTGCCCCCATTGACACTGAGATATAAAAATATGGTTCTAGGGGTGCCTGGGTGGCTTAGTCTGTTAAGCATCCAACTTTCGCTTAGGTCATGATCTCGCAGTTCATGGGTTCGGGCCCCGCGTCGGACTCTGTGCTGACAGCCAGCTCAGAGCCTGGAGCCTGTTTCAGTCTGTGACTCCCTCTCTCTCTGACTCTCTCCTGCTCACGATCTCTCTCTCTCTCCTAGAAATAAATAAAACATTAAAAAAAATAAAAAAAAAATATGGTTCTTGCCCTTAAGGGATTTGTAATGTAATTTTGATTAAAGATCTATAAGCAAGATACTATGTGAGGCGACCATCACATCCTTTATATCTGTCTCCTTAAGAAATGTCAACAAAATTCAAGTCCACTTTTTGTGCATTGCAGTGGTGTGTCTGCAGTGATCTGGAGAAAATCCTGTAGCATTACTGTTCCCTGTCAGCAAGCAGCTCAGACATTCATTTCTTCCCCCATCTCCCCACTCCAGAGAAGTATGGAGATGAAACTTCCTGAAGATACTGTAATAAACTGTCTTTAGAAGGTGTAGCACCCTAAGTGGAGGCTGCCCTATTTGTGCCTCAGAGAGAAAAAGCTGCTCAGTAAATATACTACACATCCCTTAGGGATCATTACACCTATTACATCATTACACCTATTCCCCCCTCACCAGCTGGGATGACCACTCCTCCTTGCCTTCTGTCCAGGGAGTTGTGGCCTCCACACCAGAGTGGAAGCTCCCTAAGGATAGGGCCTCACCTGGGTTTAGGTGCAGGGCTCCCAGCTCCAGTGCATGTGGGAAGTACCAGGGAGCATTCAAACAAATGCAGGTGTCTGGGTTCATCCCCAGAGATTCTGGTACAGTTGGAGTGGTCCCTGAGCAGCTGTTCAACACACACACACACACACACACACACACACACACACACACCTCCAAGGTGAGTGCAGTATGCCATTGGGTTGAGAAGCACTGAGTTGGTGGCTGAATTTATCTGAAAGAATGAATCACAGACAGTGTCTCTGGCACTCAGGAAGTTTTTTGAATTGAGAAAAGTACATCACAACCTGTATATTGGAGGCTTGACTTGGGGCTCTTTTCCTGTAAATGGAACTGCTCATAGTCTTTGCGGAGAGGAGTGGTTGCTTCAAGTGCTGGTCACAGCTGGCCCATAGCAGGCTTCCCCATAGGCACAGGTGGGTCTTGGGCCAGTGCACTGGGGCATGGATTCCCCGAGCCCTTGGTCTTGCTCCAGTATCTCATCACTAAAGACCCTCTAGTGGATGTACCTCATTCCCTCACGATACCTCTCTTGGCTGCAGCCCCTTTTGCCCCATAGTCCTGCCAGGACTGGGGTTACCAGCCCCAGGCCCTATGCCTCACATCAGTGTTCTTCCCTCCGCCACTGCATCAGTGAATACTTAGTGCCAAAGTATCTCTTCTCCATCTTGAGCGTGTTTTCTCCCCCAGGCTCATTATGAGGATGTATGCACCTGTGGTGGATAGCCCATTTGACTCACAGGGCCAGACCCTCTTTTGCTTGAGTGTGTACAAGGATCCCTCACCCATTCATTGTGTTTCTACAATTTCTATATTTTGTGTTTTGCACCAGTCTGCAATGATCCCTTCTTTCTGTCTGTGTTTTTGAAAGACTAAAGCCTACAACTAGAGTATGCATTAGAAGCCTACTGAGTGGGCTCCATGCAACCTTGTTTACCTGATTATATCTGACTTTTAGCTTTGGGGTATCATGTCTGTCCACAGGCTCAGTAGGATTCGAAGCGGGTGTTACTTCAATGTTATGTGGGCAGTTTGAGGCCGTTTTGTTAATCCGGAGAAGGGACTCCAAGATGGAAAAAAGAAAAATGGTTTTCTTTGATAGCTAAGGGGAGAGGGCTCAGGAGGTAGCCAAGTGATAGAGACATCAGGTTGGGATAGGAATGCCCTAGAGCTAACTATAGTCATTCATTTTTTCCTCTTTTTTCGTTTTCATTTTGTGTTTTGACTCTTGTGTTACTATCATCAAGTTCTCCTTTTTACTTTCATTTTTCATCTTTATTTCTCTTGCAAGTTGCTGTGTCTAGTGTGCCAGAGAGAGAGCTCCTATGTCCTGAGCTCCCACAGACTTCTTACCAGCCCCCACCCTATTCCCCTGGCTGTACATCCTTTGATTTTTCCCTTGGGCTCATCCCTAACTTGCTCTTGCCTCCTCCTGTGATGTCTTGGTTGATCTCATCCTTCCTTCTTTCCTCTCCTTTCTTTTTAAAGAATTATACTCCTACTTGGCATAAACACTCTGTCTTTTGTTGTTACTAATAATTCTTCCTTTTTATCTTTGGGAAAATACAGTGGTGTCTGTCAAGTCATATCAGAAAGAGATAGCCAGAGTAGACTTTTCCATTGTTGAAGTCAACAGTGATGGATTATTTTCTGATGCTCATTTCATCTTCAGGTGGGAAATATTATTCCCATTTTACAGGTGGGGATATAGAGGCTAAAAGAAGTTCAGTCGTTGGGCCAAAAGCAAGCATATTAAATGGTAAAACTTGGGATGTCTCATGTCAGAGTCTTCACTCTGCTGTTAAACTCTGAACCCTCCAGCTGGAAGAGGATGAACATGTGTTGCTGGCCCCAAGGGATAGATTTAATGGCCTTGAAGTTCCTCCCATGCCAGCATTCATGAGATGCTCTGAGATTATGTAGGATAGTGAGCCTTTTCCCAGGGGGTTAATTTTGCCAATAACAGTCTAAATTATCTTCTAGAAATGATTCAGTATCAATTCTGAGACTATGGGCAGTCACGGTCGGAGTGTGGCATTTTGTGGTTGGGTACCAGTGCCTTTTGTGTTGTGTTGCTGTGTGAATCAGCAGAGTAGACTTCTCACAGTTAAGACTCTCAATGTTTTGTTTCTTTACAGAGCCTGTGTCATCCTGGGGGTGATATTCCTTCTGTCCTCCATATGCATAGTGGTCAAAGCCATCCATGACCTCTCAACTAGGCTGCTCCCAGAAGTGGTAAGGTCCTTCTTCCTTAACAATTTTCCCTGGAGGTACCAGCCTCTTATGTTGCCTCTTACGAAGAATTTACTTGGGAAAGTTGGGTGGGTGGAGAGAGAATAAACAGTATTTAAGGAGTGCCGAAGAACTCATTGAGGAAGATGAATGACTTGGCAGAAAGAAGCCCTGGGCAAGACGAAAAAACTTCACATTGTTGACGTGGTTCTGGATTCTGTGTCTCTCTCCTTAGATCTTTTGACTATTTTTAGAGCAAGATGTCTTTGATGTAAGAAGAAATGGGATGATGTTTGTATAGCAGACTGATCCAATCTGTGTTCTTTGTCTATATTCAATGGTTATTGTAATAAGAATTATTTTTCTTTTGCATCTCACATAAATCCATTCACATTGAATTTTCTGGCACAGTTGACATTCGGATGCAGAAACTGGAGGACACAATTTCATATTACAGTGTTTCTTTAACTGCTTTGTTCTTTGGGTGAGAGTTATTACCTGCACTCTGATTCTTTTTCTCCGGTCCTCTTAGGAATGCTGGAAAAAAGAAAAGAAATACGTTTACAGTCTCCTGTTGGGTTATTTTCATAGAAAGCAGCTGGCTTACTTACCAAGAGATGAAGTTGCTGCCATTACAGTGATTTCTTTGTATAAAAGTTGCATAGTGATTATGCAAAAACACGGGCTTTTCTCTTAAGATGGGATTTGATTTGAATTTAGCTACATGTACCATCTTTGACAAAGCCTAAATTCCTAGAACTTTCATTTCACTTTTAGAAAAATACATGTTCATCCTTTCTGGGGTGAACTTTTGCCTGTGGTACGGAGAGGGCTAAAATGAAGTGGGCATTGCACTGCATTCAGGAGAGGAATGAGAGGGGCTGCTTTAGCTAGCTACACCCTCCCATAACTGAAATAGAGATCGGGGCCAGTCCTTTAGTAACTCACCAGGATCTTCAGTATTATTTGTTGGCACAGGGGCCAGAAGCTTGTTCTCTAGTATCTTAGCACCAGCAAGGAAAGATGGATACCTGTGCATGACTTTCAGGCTGTGCCGGGAGCAGAGCTAGCTGACGGGAATATTCCTATTACTCCTCTGGGTTCTTAGTCTCACGATTGTGTTCCCTTATTCCGATCTTCCCGTGGGCTGAGATCCTGGGCTTTTCCATCCTTTGCCTCCTCTGTTCCAATCTGCCGGAACCTGAATCTTAGGTAAAATTTACACCTGAAAGCATGACGTATGATTAATTAAGACGTCAGTCAGATAGCATCTTTGCATTTTACAGGGGATGGAAATATGCCTCCACTCTAAGTAATGTTTATTGGTGGAAATTTTTAGCACTAGGTTAGTTGAGACGTTGATTTATTTCGGCATTAACAGTTAATTTGCAGCAGGGCTATTTTGATAAGGAATGGATAGCTGTGCTCAGGGACCTTTGCAAGGACCCTCCTTTTTTCCCTTGATAGTGGAACCCTCTTTTCCTGGGAAGTCTCATATTGTGTGGTGAAAATACTCCTGAGGGAAGAAGATCACCAAGTGAAACTGCATACCAAAATATAAATGTCTGATGCCCTGTCCCATGTGGGCTACGGAGAGGGCAAAGAGGTTCATGATTTTGCACCAGACTGGCCCTGTCCTTGGAGAAGTCACACCCACTGCATCATTTATCAGTCCTGGTGTGGGATTTAAGAATCAGACACATTTATTGTCATCCCATCAGAACTCTGAAGAAAAGAATATGGTGGTTTTATTGTTTTATTTTTGTGTTCAGGATTATGGAAAGAAAACAGAGGCAGTGAGCTCCCGTCTGCAGCCAGAAGGGCTTCTGATCCGCCGAGTGACACACAGCGGGGTCAGATGAAACACAGACTGATAGTGTTTCAGTCCCAAGTCTTTGAGTGCCCACTTTCTGCTCTGGAAGCTTGGGGAAGCCAGCAGGCCATACATAGCCAGACACCCGGCCCCCAGCCTGAGGGTCTGTCCACATCTGAATTAGGCGGTGTAATCAGATGTTCACGTAAGCCAGTCCTGAATGCAGGAGAAGCTCTAGTGCAACCAGTGGTCCTTGGAGACCAGAGTGTGCCTGGGGGAAAGGCCTGCCCTCTCGTGGTGCCGGGCAGAATTGCTGTGCAGGGATGTGGCTCCCAGAGCTGGCACTTTCCAAGTTTTTCAGGCAGTGGAAGCCTGTGTTTAATGTGAAATAAATGGACAACTCATTAAACATTTTTGAAAACCCTGTTTGGGAGTGGATGGACAGTTCCATCAAGGCCAAATTAAGTATGCCTGTGGCAGTTGAAACCAGGGAGATTGGTGTTCAGGGCCATGATGTCATGATTTAGGTCCAAGTTACTGCCTTACCCTTGCCCCCAACTACAGAACTGCCTTTTTTTCTCCTTTTTCTTTCGTGGGGGGAGGGGAGGAGGGAGGAAGGGCACAAGTGAATGAGGAGCAAAGGTGAGGGGAAAGAGAGGAGCGGGGCTTGAACTTACCTGATACAGGGCTTGAACTCATGAACTGTGAGATCATGACCTGAGCCGAAAGCAGATGCTTAAGGACTGAGCCACTCAGGCATCCCACAACTGCCTTAAAAATTTTTTAGGGGCACCTGGGTGGTTCACTTGGTTGAGTGACTCGACTCAGGTCATGATCTCACAGTTTGAGCCTGCATGGGACTCTGTGCTGACATTCTGTGTCTCCCTCTCTCTGCCTGTCCCCTGCTCATGCTCTGTCTCTCAATAATGAATACACACATAAAAAAATTACTTCTGGCATAGTCAACATACAGTGTTAGTTTTGGGTGTACAATGTAGAAACTCAACAATTCAGTACATTTCTCAGTGCTCATCATAAGTGTGCTCTTTAATCCCCTTCTTGTTTCACCCCTCCCCCCACCCACTTCCCCTCTGGTAACCGTCAGTGTGTTCTCACTAGTTAAGAGTCTTTCTTGGGGCGCCTGAGTGGCTCAGTTGGTTAAGCGTCCGACTTCGGCTCAGGTCAGATCTCATGGTTCATGGGTTCGAGCCCCGCATCAGGCTCTGTGCTGACAGCTCAGAGCCTGGAGCCTGCTTCCGATTCTGTCTCCCTCTCTCTCTGCCCCTCCCCCGCTCATGCTCTGTCTCTCTCTGTCTCAAAAAAAAAAAAAAAAAAAAGAGTCTTTCTTGGTTTGTCTCTCTTTTTCCCCTTTTTCCATTTGTTTTATTTCTTAAATTCCATATACGAGTGAAATCATGTGGTATTTGTCTTTCTCTTACTAGCTTATTTTACTCAGCATTATACTCTCTAGCTCCATCCCTGTTGCTGCAAATGACAAGACTTCATTCTTTTTTATGGCTGAATAATACTACATTGTATATATACACCACATCTTCTTTATCCATTCATCTATTGAGGGATACTTGAAGAAACTCTCGTGTGCTGTTGGTGACAATGCAAACTGGTGCTGCCATTGTTGAAAAGAGTATGGAGGTTACTCAAAAAATTTTTTAAAAAGTTACCCTACTATCCCGTAATAACACTGCTGGGTATTTATCCAAAGAATACAAAAACACTAATCCAAAAAGATATATGTGCCCCTCTGTTTATTGTAGCATTATATATAATAGCCAATCAATGGAAACAGAACTACCTTTTTATTTTTTTATTTATTTTTTTTTTTATTTCTAGGAGAGAGAGAGAGACAGTGTGAGCAGGGGAGGGTCAGAGAGAGAGGGAGACACAGACTTTGAAACAGGCTCCAGGCTCTGAGCTGGCAGTAAGCACAGAGCCCGATGCGGGGCTTGAACCCACAAACCGCGAGATCATGACCTAAGCGAAAGTCGGACGCTTAACTGACTAAGCCACCCAGGCGCCCCGTAGAACTACCTTTTTAGCCTAGATTTCCATCAGGATGTTTTGACTGTAGGTTTGTCAGAAGCAGCATTTTCCCGACATCACGCCTGATCCCTGGCAGCTCTCTCTCTTTTTTTCCCTAATGTTTATATTTTTGAGTGAGTGAGAGACATACACATGCACATGTGTGTGTATACATGTACCCGTGCACAAAGTGGGGCAGAGGGGGAGAAAGAGAGAGAATTTTTTAAATATAATTTATTGTCAAGTTAGCTAACATACAATGTATACGGTGTGCTCTTGGCTTCAGGAATAGATTCTCATGATTCATCGCTTACATACAATACCCAGCTTACCCATTGCTTACAAACACCAGCCAACAAGTGCCCCCCTCAATGCCCATCACCATTTTCCCCTCTCCTCTGCCTCCCTCCCCCATCAACCCTCAATTTGTTTTCTGTATTGAAGAGTCTCTTTTGGTTTGCCTCTCTCTCTGTTTGAAACTATTTTCTCCTTCCTTTCCCCCATAGTCTTCTGTTAAGTTTCTCAAATTCCACCTGTGAGTGAAAATGTATATCTGTCTTGCTCTGACTGACTTCTTTGACTCAGCGTAATACCCTCCAGTTCCATCCACATTGTTACAAATGGCAAGATTTCATTTTTTCTCAGTGCCAAGTAGTATTCCATTCTGTATATAAACCACAACTTCTTTATCTTTTTGTCAGTTGATGGACATTTGGGTTCTTCCTATAATTTGGCTATTGTTGATAGTGCTGCTGTAAACATTGGGGAGCATGTGCCCTTATGAATCAGAACTCCTGTATCTTTTGGATAAATTCCTAGAAGTGCTATTGCTGGGTTGTAGGGTAATTCTATTTTTAGTTTTTTGAGGAACTTCCACACTGTTTTCCAGAGTGGCTGTATCAGTTTGCATTCCCACCAACAGTGCAAGAAGGGTCCTGGTTCTCCATGTCCTCACCAACATCTTTTGTTTCCTGAGTTGTTCATTTTAGCCACTCTGACCAGTGTGAGGTGATATCTCAGTGTGGTTTTGATATGTATTTTCCTGATGATGAGCGATGTTGAGCATCTTTTAATGTGTCTGTTAGCCATCTGGATGTCATCTTTGGAAAAGGGTCCATTCGTGTCTTCTGACCATTTCTTCCCTGGATTG